ACATGGCATGTTGGAATAAAATCCTTAAAGAACACATTGCTACGATAGCATAGACATATTATATTATATATCAGTTGTACATAAGGGGGTTAAAATATTTTGCATACATTTCACATGTAACTGTATACAATGAAACTGAAAATAAAAACATAAAGTGTCATGTATGAAATGAGATAATACACATTACATTTCCAAAGCCAGACTTTTGTCAGTAGGACCACAATCTAGATTATGTTTCAGTTATCGCACCATTTATTTTCCCAGTTTCTCCTTCCGTGTCTCTGATGATAAACCGAGATGGATCTCCTGAGTGCCGGGCTGTTGGTGGGAATCCAGCAGCTGATATTTCCTGGATTCCGGAATCAGATAATGTCACTACTAGAAATGGAATGGAGCCGGACAATACTTGGACAGTTATTAGTACATACAGCGAACACGGAATCAGTGGGAGAGAAGTGAAATGTAATGTTTCTCATCCTGCATTTATTCATCCTCAGATAATGTCCCTTCTAATACCTGGTAAGATTACAGTTTTACATTTTCTTCTATTTCCTGCAAAGAAAATACTCTTCATAGGATATTTATAGACCAATGTCTTTAAATTTGTGTCTGATTAATAATTAACCCCTTTATTACCAAGCTTTTTTTTGTTTTAAATATATTACTATATCTAGTTGTACTATGGATGATTGGTTTGTAATATTAATAATGATATTTTCATTTTAATTGACCCAGTCGGCAGTCTACTAATTTATAAGAACTGGTTATTATTGTGTAGTAAGCAGTAAACAGAATTAGGACTTTCACTTTAGCGTTAAACTCTGTACAGTCTGTGACAGCGCATTTCATGTTCTGAGAAAAGCTTCAGCGACAGTAAATTATATAATTTTAATGCTCATGTGTTTGGAGAGTTAAAATTAAACCACCAGTTTTATCAGTATTTATCATATTCAGTCTAATATCTAAAAATGAGTTATGTATATATATATATCATTACAATATGTCTAGATATAATTCTCCGTTACCATAATACAAATAGTTATAAAAAAACCTATAAGTAAAACATTTTCTTTGTCTACAGAAAACAGAAGTTATCTCAGGTGGATTGTGGTACCAGTTATCCTTCTTGTCCTCATCACAGGAGTATTGTTGCCATGGAAACGACCAACTTGCAGGTATTTTACATGCAATGGATTGACTGTTTGTTGTAACATGCAGCTCTTAAACCCCGGATAAAGAAGTTTCAGGTCATTATTTCAGTAGACAGTCTGTGTATAGACATTCAGATTGTCAGTCAAAATCAGTTGAAAAAAATAAAAAAATAAGTTATTTATTTTGGAGAGAAAGGGGTTCATTTACTTAAAGGAAGACTAAAATTGCTACAACTTACAGTAATGGTCTTGGTAAAAAGTTACTGTCCATTTACTGTGACAATTGTGACAACAGAACATTCATATAGACACATCCTCACATTCATATGCACACACACAAACATTCACATTCATGCACAATTACCTTCATATCCACATATGCATGCACACACGTGCATATTTGCTGCAGAGCTTAGCTTATGACAGCTAACAGAAGCTCCTAGCAGGAACTTCCAGCTCATTGAAGGCTGTAGTGGAGGCAAGGGGAGGAGCCCTGCAGACCCTGGTAATAGGTCAAACCTTTCTAAAACTATTTGATTATTTACAATCACTGTGGTGGTTATGGTGTTTGCAGTGTTCCTTTAACTTCTATTTATATGTGCCTTTTCTACCAGCAAGAACAAAAAGCTAGAGATATACTCTTATAACCTCCCCCTGATTTGTCAGAATCATTTCTTTTTATTTTCCGACCTTCAATCTGTTGTGTTGGGTTGAGAGGTTCAGAGAGTCAAAGAATGTATTAAAGTAATACATCAAGCACCATAACCACTGCAGACTGCTATTACAGCCTGTTGTACTGGTTATGGTAATTTGAAGCTATAAACTAATTAAACTATGAGAAAAAGATATTGTTCATACATTTTTATGAATGGGGACTACCTTCTTACCAATACTGGAAGTAGCTGAGCAGAGTGGATGGGTGCTATCTTTAATTTAAAAAAAATCTCCTCATAAGGAAAGATGGTTCTTGGGACCTCCTTGCACCACAAGAACTTCACCAAGATGTTATGGTGCCTGGAGTGTCACTTTAAAACAACATTTCAGCAACATACAATTGATTAATGACACACTTTAACTATTCTCATCCCCACTGCACTATACAAGGGTCAAACAGGTATTTCCGATATTTGTTAGATGGATCCATATTGTTTGTCATTAACCTCTCGATCTTAGAGTATCGAATTTGAGGTCATGTGATTACTGATGAAGACTGGAGCTAAGCCTGTTTTCAAAATCACACAATGCGAGTACTACAAGAAGAAATACAATTATCAGGTAAAACAAGAAAAAGCTGTAAGAGTAAAAGAAGGTGTGATGATACAGCCCTGGCGTCTCTGGCATTGAAGGTTCTCCAGTTTAGACACGCTATCGTCTGTGGGTTTCTTTTACCTAACCTGCACCACGAACTGCTCCACTAAATGTTAGGACTCAGCTTTGGTAGCGTATCCACTGGCAATGCAGGATATACTGCACTGGTATCTGGTTACTATAAGATATTCAATCTATCTAGTCCTCTGGCAATACTTCTATTAGTAATTACTCTATAGAGGACAATGAATAGCAAAATACCTGCGAGACGTCAAGGAAGAGACAAACCAGATTCTTCTTGGCAACTCAAAGAACTCAGACAGTTTATCATAAGTAGAGTTGAGCGGACACCTGGATGTTCGGGTACGGCAGGTTGGGCCGAACTTTGAAAAAAAGTCCGGGTTCGGGCTCGAACTTGACCCCGAACCCGAACCCCATTGAAGTCAATGGGGCCCAAAAATGGCTCTAAAAAACTCCTGGAAAGGGCTAGAGGGCTGCAAAATGAAGTAAAATGGATGTAAGAGTAGGACAAGTGCACTGCAAACAAATGTGGATAGGGAAATCACTTAAAAATAACATAAAATAAGCAGCCACTTAGTAGATAACTCCCTAATTCCCACGGTATTAGGGAGCTATCTACCAAAAGGTTGAAAGATCTAAACTGGTCACATAAATTG